TGTATAGATTCACTCTGTGCTTTCAAGAGATTGTTTATAATGATCCAACATGGGAAAATGTCCCATGTGATATCATGTTCCCAGGAATAATGAATACTCTGAATTCTCTTTCTTCCCCTCTTTTTCACTGGTTCCTTTAAGTTCTATGAGCATCCGGAATTAGTTTGTCTGAGAACGTTAGGACACAATGTCTTTCTCCATATAATACTTCCCATGAAAAGCAAGAAATGAAAATATAAGTGAGTACTCAGAATTAGAATATTGTAAACTCCCTTTTTCCTGAGGGATTATTTTTAAGGAAAAGTTTGGCCTATATAGGCACATACACTAGTTGTTCTTTCTCTTGCCTCTCAAATTATTATTCCTTATCTTTAGGACATCTCTTAGTTTGTATTTTCATTCATTATTTAGACAGCCATCAATAGAGTGTAAGCAATTGTTTCCTCTGGTATTTAATGAACATTTGTCTCAGTAAGCATTTGTTGAATGAATGTGTCTTTCATATATTTAACTTGTGCTGACCTGCATGTCATTAAACTACACACAGATCCTGAACATGGCTTACTGTGTATTTAGGCCCATACTGCACATTTGAGCCTCTGGTCCAAGCAGAATAAAGTTTCTCCCCATCTTGAATTTACTGCTCTTTTTTCTACATTCAATAAAAACTTACTTATCTTTTAATTTTGATTTGAAAATAGTCTCTGAGACCTAAGTAACAGGTGATATTCTATATTTATAGAAAAGCTTATTATAGTAAAAATGTCAATTTATCTATAGACACAAAACAATTTCAATTCAAGTGCCCAGAAATTTACAATGGAAATTGAAAAATTGTTCCCATCATGCTAAAGGACGAACAAAGGGGTTGGAGAAAAATAAAAGGATCAAACATGATGTGGCAGATATGAGGACATTATATGAGTCAAGGTCACTTATGTCGTGTCAGAACAACAAAAACCTATTACTATCAAGCCAATTCCTAATCATAAATCACGAAACTTGACTTACTGCCATGACTCAATTCAAACTCATAGCAAACTTCAGCTATGACAGAGTAGAACTGTCCACTAAGGTTTCCAATCCAGTATCATTACAGAAAATGCCAACTCTCTTTTTCATGGAGTGACAGGTGGGTACAAAACAATGGCCACTTAGCAGCCAAGCAGTTTAACCAGTGCCCCACCAGAGCTCCTTACTTAGTACTAGGGCAGAGACAAATACATTGACCAACGGAAAGATCTAGATTTGGTGAGTGGTCACTTTTTCAGAGATTTGTAAACTACTGGTTCACTGTTCTTTTGGCAATATCCTATCCGGGATTTTATTACATTCTTCCATTACATTCATCTAGGAATATATGAGCTTGCTGTTTTCATATTAAATGGCATAAAGGCATTTAAAAGCCTATTGATATCCATTTTAAAAATGAACAGCCTTAACACTCTTTAGGTTTATGGGGTAAAAATCCACAGAAAGTACAGGGAGTTTCCATATCCCTCCTCCCCCACAGCCTCACCGTGGGCATAAGTTTTCATGATTTTGCTGTGTTGTAATTTTAATCATTGTTGAAGTTTTATTTCCTCTAAATTCCTAATATTGTTTCATGGCCCTTCCTAGTAGCCATCACCAATTTAATAAAATATTTAGTACTTTTAGAGGTCTTCTTAAAAAAGCAAACTTTTGGTTTAGTAAGTCTTTTATTTTGATTTTCTATTTAATTGGGTTCTGTCCATATCTTTACTATTGTCTTCTGAAGCTTGATATTTACCTTATTGATATGTAGCTTAAATTTTTTTTGAATGTAGGAATTTAAGCTTATCAATATTTCTCTCTTCCCAGCTTTTATCTCAATTTTAATACTGCAAGTTTTGATAAATAGCATTTTCATTATTGTTAACTTTAACATTTTAAAAATATCCATTTCTTATTGTCTGTGTTGAATCATAAGTTACTTGGAGGATTTTAAAATATCAAAATCAAATGACATGATGTGACTTGCATCCACAGTCTCTGGTGTTCCAGAGGGCAGAGTAGAGGGGAACCCTTGGCACACTGTCTAGTAAATGCTGGGGTGAAGGGAAGCCAGGGCTCACGGGAGCTCAAAGGATTCTGAGATTCAGCAGCTCCCCTAGAAAAAATCATGGTTAGCATGAGTCTTGTAAAAGAAGAATTTTGCTTTGTAGAGAGAGATTGTGTAGAAAATGAAAAGTTCTTCAAGACAAAAGAAGTTATTGAAAGAAAAGTAAGAGAGTACTTGGATCTGCTCAAGTACAAGTCACTCAATTCAAGTGCAGAAAGAGAGACGAACAATAAATTGGTACTTTAGTTATTCTGGCCAGAGAAGGTAATAGAAGACCATCATCCTAATTCCCTTAGACGTGGGTAGATTCCAGAAGGATTTAGAAGTCAAGATTAGATTGGTGACTATGATATATCCAAAAGCAATAAGCAATAAGCAATTTATTCATGAATGTGAAGCTTGGGAGAGAGGTCTAGATTGTAAATTTAGGTTAAGAAGTCATGAACAATGACAAGAAAACAAACAAAAAAGAATTGTCACTATAGTTTATTAATAATAAAGATACTGCACATAAATGTTTAATCATTTATTCATGTTTCATTTAAAGAATACTTGCTAAATATCTACTATAAGCTGGGAATTCCTTGGTGGTTTGAATTAAGACTAAGACTTCATATTTATTACAATAATGAAATTAATACATTTCTAAAACCAAAAGTTTCACTCTCTTGGATCTTTTTTTTTTTTTTCATTAGGAAATAAGTTCTGGGCCACCAGAGGAAATGAGATACAAGTAGGTTATCCAAGAAGCATCCATACCCTGGGCTTTCCTCCAACTGTAAAGAAAATTGATGCAGCCATGTCTGATCAGAAAGAGAAGAAAACATACTTCTTTGTAGAAGACAAATACTGGAGGTAAAGAAGAAATCAGAATTGTCTTGTAGGCAACTTCATTAGGGAAGTTGCTTTCTTTCTTGAAGGAGAGCCCCATCCCTATCCTTGAACTTCTTCTAGCTCTAAACTTCCTCCTTATCAAAGACAAATGAATAGTTATTGGACTTCTTAGGTATAATAAAGGGTTCTCACTAAGGCATGGCAAAAGAGCTCTGGTGGCTTAGTGGTTACATGGAGGTGCTAACTGCAAAGTCAAAGTCCCCAGCTGCTCCAAGGCAGCTTGTCAGAGTTCAGTGGGATCATTAGGGTTGATTGTGATGATGAATATACAATTCTTTTTAGAAGTGGTTAACTATGGAAGGATATGATATATGAATATTATATCAAGAAAACTACTTTAAAAAAAAACTTGATCTACGATGACCAGGGATAAAGGAAAGAGTTTTTGCTGAAGGGCATTGAGTTCATGTTAATGGTGGTGGGACAATTCGGAGAAGGAAAACAATAATGGCTGTACAACACAAAGAATACAATCGAGGGCACTGAATTACACATGTAGAAGTTGATGAATTGGTGAATGCTTTGTTTTGTATATTTTTGACAAAATTGGGGGTGAAATTATATGAATAACGATGAGTATGGGGGAAAAGAAAATGTTCTAAAATTGATTGTGGTAAAGATGGTACAATTAAAAAAAAGATGGTACAATTCTTATTCATACGGTTGAACTATTGAATTATGTGATATATGGACAGAGTGACAATAAAATTGTTTAACAAAACAAAAGCAAAGGCAGATCACTGAGTCATGTACTAGGTAACAGACTATTTCAGGCGAGGCCAACTAAGATTCAGACTGCAGGCACAATTCTTATTCATTTCTCATCCTGCTGTCAGTTAGCACCCAATTCCTATGGGAAGCCTATGAGCAGCAGGCTCTGGAGACAAGGCCTACAGGAGGCTCAGTGTGGTGGTGGTCTTGTTTCTAGAGTTTTTTGAGTCAGCTCTGATTAATATCAACCCCGCGAACAACAAAACAAAACACCACCCAGCCCTGCACCATCTCACAATTGTTATGCTTGAGCGCAGCCCCTGTGTCCATCCATCTTCCTTGAGGGCTTTACTTTACATGGAAGTGGAGGGTCTGACCCTCTGCTTTAGGAAGCGTGCTATCCTTTCCCAAGGATTGGCCCCTTCTAATAACATGCTCCAAATACATAAGACAAAGTCTTAGTGCCTCACTTCTCAGGAGGATTCTGCCTAGACACTGGTCCCAGGGGACCCAATGTGGTAGAAAATGAGAAGGTTATTTTCAGCCAAATAACATGTTTCACTTTGCATCCTATGTGTATTTGTGACAAATATGGTCCAGGTTTAGAAAACTGACATCAGACACAGGTAGAGAACTGTTCTAGAAGGACACAAGGTCTGTCTTTAGGGAAGATGTTGTTTTATGAACTGAATTTGTAAGCCAGGGAAAGTCACTTATTTGAAGCATGCCCTTTTAACGCTTGAAAAGTTTACCCAGGATTTCATCCTGGAACACTGATCTATGTAATACTGGTCTATGTAATAGAGGCGCTACACAATGCCGGACTTCATTTCTTTTGGTATAGATTTGATGAAAACAGCCAGATCCTGGAGCAAGGCTTCCCCAGACTAATAGCTGACGACTTCCCAGGAGTTGAGCCAAAGATTGATGCTGTCCTGGAGGCATCTGGTAAGAGGACGCTCTGTTGGTTGTCAAAGGGGATATCTTATAGCATTAAAATTTATGCAGTTTGAAGTTACATTTTATCTTTATTCAATGTCACAAGTCCTTTTTATCTCTGCACATGAAAATCAAAGGATACTCCTTCATATTATAGCCGCTTTCTTATATTATAAAACCACTGCCACTGAGTTGATTCCAACTCACAGCAAGTCTACAGGACAAGTAGAACTGCTCCATCGGGGCTCGGAGGGTCCATAATGTTTCTGAAGCAGATTGCCTCCTCTTTATACTATGGAGTGGCTGGTGCATTTGAACTGCTTACCTTTCAGTTAGCAGTCTGGTGCTTAACCCACAGCACCACCAAGGCTTCTTTTGTACAGTTGTATAAAAAGCCCAGCTGGATGTGAATCTTGCTGTCTTTAACTCTATCTCATTCTGTTACCCTTTCTCTCCTATCTCATCTCAATGAATCTTCTCTGGCCTTATCTTAGGCGATGATCTACAATGGCCATTTATAAGCAAATACCTTCCCATGTGCTCAAAACAGACAACATGTAATTTTTGTGATAGGCAGATGGGAAAGGAAAAATTGTTGTTGCTTTCCCTGTAAAACCACTATTGAACAGAGATGCCACAGCTTACCAATCATAATGCCTAAGAAGCTGACAATCTCATTACTAAGACAACCTGACCAAAATGTATGCAAAGCAGGGAATGAACCTCTGATATTTTCATTGTTTGTTTCTCTTGGGTTCACTTGTCTTCCAAGCAATAATTTAGGGCCTGGGGGTGAAGAAGGGAATTGGAAGAAAGGGATAAATAAACCATAAAATAAATAAATATGTTTTCAAAATATTATAGAGTTTTATCTAGTTGGAGACAGTATAGTCTAATGCTTTATGGAAGGGGCTTTGAAGTCAGAGAGAAAGGACATAGAATCCCCTTCATCTTTCATTTATGGTATTTCCCTGGGGAGAGAGGGGCGCGGAAAGCCTCCTTAATTTGGGGGTCTTTTTCTCCCTTACTATGATTCTTTTCCCTTTATTTGTAAGGAAAAAGGCATGTTAATGCAGCACAAAGCAAGCACTTAATAAATGCCACCCACTATTAATATGCTCTTATTCCAAGTTGTATATGTTTCAAAACTAATTTGCTTGAAGGATGTCTGATTATGCTCTCATCTCTATTTGCAGGGCTTTTTTATTTCTTCAGTGGATCGTCGCAGTTTGAATTTGACCCTAAAGCCAAGATGGTGACACATGTGTTGAAAAGCAACAGTTGGTTACATTGTTAGTCAAAAGACAGAGAAGAAAAACCTTGGTAGGTGCCATCCAATCGGGTCTGCCTATTGCAGCCCTTGGTACTACTGAACCTAACGCTGCCTGGCCCTGCAGCATCCTTCCAATCACGGCTCTGTCATAGCCACCACAGCCTCCATCTGTTGAGGGTCCTTTCTGTTCATGGACACTCTACTTTTCCAAGCAACGGGTCCTTCCCCAGGAACTGGTCTCTCCTGAGACTATATCCAAAATATAATGCCATTATCCTCTAATTTCATTTTTCCAAGAACCCTTTTGAAGCCCTCTCATACATGAAAGGAAAGCTTGCCATCCTCATTTTAAGGAGAATTATGGTTATGCTTTTTCCTAGATAGAGTTGTTCCTTTTTTTGGGGGGGGGAGGCAGTCCATATTAATAAATGCTATAACTTAAAGACATCTTTCTTCTTTGATTATACTTATTCATTATCCAATGTGAGATTAAAAATACCATGGCTTGGCTCAGCATACCTTAGTCTTCAAAGCGATATCTTTGCTTTCTAACATTTTAAAGAGATATTTTGCCGCAGATTTGACAAATGCAATATGAAGTTTGATTTGTTGACTGATGCTTCCATAGTGGATCCAAATAAAATGAAAATCATGGCAACCTAAATCTTTTCTCCATGTAGTATGATGTTGCATGTTGGTCTAGTTGTGAGGATCTTTGTTTCCTTTATGGTGAGATGCAATCCATACTGAGTCTTTGAACATCACCAATCGTACTTCAAGTCATCTTCACTTTAGCAAATGAGTGTGTGTCATCTGAATATTGAAGGTTGTTAATTAGTCTTCCTCCAATCCTGATTCCATATCTTCAGATAGTCAAGTCTCTTATTTTTTCAGCACAGACTGAGTAAGTATGGTGAAAGGATATAGCCCTGACACATACCTTTCCAAATTTTAAAGGTGCTGAATCCCCCACTTCTGTTGAAACGACTGTCTCTTGGTCTGTGTATAGGTTTGTTACCCATGAGCACAGTAAAATATTCTGGAATCCCATTCTTTGAAATGCTATTCATAATTTTTATGAACCGCACAGCCAGATATTTTTGCAGACTCAATAAAACACAGGAAATATCTTTCTAGTATTCTCAGCCAATCCACCTGATATCAACAATGATATCCTTTATTCCATTTCCTCTTCAGAATGTGGCTTGAATTTCTGGCAGCCCACTGTTGATGTACTGCTGGAAATCATTTTAAAAACTATCCTCAATAAAATATTCCTTTAATGTGATATTAATTATATTGTTTGATAATTTCTGCATTCTGTTAGACCATCTTTCTTTTTGAATGACAGTCAAGGTGAATCTCTTCCAGTCGGTTTGGACAGCTAGCTGTCTTCTGTGTTGCTTCACACAAATGGTCAGCACCTCCAGAGCAGCATGCATTTGGTGAAATCTCTCTGTTGGTATTCTGTAAATTCCTAAAACATTGTGTTTTATACAACGTCTTCAGTGTACCTTGGACTTCCTACTTCAATACTAGCAATTATTGATTTCTTGACCTTATGCTACCTCCTGAAATGGTTTAACACTGACCAATTCTTTTGTATACAGTGACTGTATGTATTCTTACCATCTTATTTTAAAGCTTCAATGTTTCCCCCACAGAATCCTTCAATATTGCAACTTGAGGCTTGAATTTTTTTCTGTCAGTTCTTTCAGCTTGTTTTGTTTGAGGCTTACTAGCTCATAATAATGTGTTACTTTTTTTCCCTCAAGCTGTCCTTTGAAATCTGTTCAACTTTTAAACTTTATTGTTTCTTACTTTTGTTTCCATGATTCTACATTCAAGAGCCAGTTTCAGAATCTTCTGACACCCATTTTGGTCTTTGAATGAGTAGGCATTTTAAATTAAACCATTTTCACTCTCAATAATATGACGTTCAAGTATCATGAGTCAGAATCATCAATTGCTCCTCAATGTGCAGAGGCCAAAGATGGAACTTGATCCTAACATTTGTGTGGACAGTTTCTTGTATCATGAAGCATTTATTTCACCAACTATAGAGTATATATTTCAGCATTTATTAAGCAACTGTTTCGGTTGCTTTGGGGTTACATTCTTTTTTTCCAGGTCTGTTTGTTGACCTTTATGAGTGTTTTCCAGTCGAGTCTGATGGGGTGCCATGCCCTGACCCCAAAGTCTATTTTTGGTATTCCCTGGGGACTTCATTGCTTTGCTCCCCTTGCTGCTCTGTTGCTTGCCCTGAGTGTTTCGCCCCAGTGTGGTGATTTCAGATCAGGCACAAGTTCCCGCACTGTCTCCAGTGTTGTCTCTCATAGCACTATGGATCAGTGAGGGACATCATGTCTCGTGGTGGGGCAGGCCCCCTGGCCCTCTCTGTGCATTGGCTGCTCTGAGCAGGAATATAATCCTCGGGACTTGGTGAGCCTGGATGTGTTTTACTCTTTCTCCTTCCCCCTTCGTTTGCTCCTGTATGCTTTGGGGGGTGGGGATGGAGGTGGGTGTCCCCATAGTTGGGTTACATTTTTGAAAAAGTAGGAAATACTCATGTGCAACTGGCAAGAAAATGTATCCCTATGAATGCTGTATTTATTATGTAATAAATATTTCTACTTGTGGAATATTCCATTCTTTTTGAATAATTTTTCACTACCTAGACTACAGTGTGGAAGGATATTTTTACAGATGTTCTACTGACAGATGTTGTAGAACCACAACCCCGCGGAGTGGGCTCAATACCACGCACTATCCCAGGAGCTGCCACAGTTGTGAGAAATCGGCCAGTGAAGGAAGCCCATTCACCACAGCCTCATGGAGATTTGTCTGGGGGAACCAAGAAATCAGATTTTTTTTTAAAAAAACAACGAAAACAGGTAGATACAAATGGTAAGTGTGCTATTAATTACATGACATAATGGTGGATGAGAATCATTTTATGTGTAATCCTGAAATGGTAGTGGTCAACAAGGACATGTTTGCATAGGCATGAAGACTGAAGTGTGGGAAGAAGAGTGGGAAGTTGAGGAAATGTGCCGTGTCTGCTATTATTGAGGCTCCGACTCTACTTACAATGAACAAGTAGGACCAATTCCTGCATCATTCACACAATGATCCCTGTGTGGGAGCCCGCTCTTGTTGCCATGATGGCCATCGATCTTGTTGTAGGTCTTCCTCCCTTTCACTGACTCTACTTTGCCAAGCACCATGTCCGCCTCCAAGGACTGATTCCTCTTGATAACATGTCCAACTCATAAATATCTTTATATAAGTTGACAAGAAGATATATATATACACATGTAGTATTTAACTTTGCTGCAAATAGATCCATGAATACGGTGGGGCATCTAGGGGAAGTCACGAAAATGTCTTAGACATATGAAAACTTTGAGGTAGTGCGTTGATGGGCCTGGAGGCTCAGGACCATAGTCTTGGGGACATCACGTCGATTGATATAACATAGCTCGGGAAGACAATATTCTGCACCCTATGTTGCTTTAGAGTGCCTTCTAAAGTGCAACTCTTGGTCTCTTCTCATTTGGAGGAAAGATGAATGATGAAATTTGAAATATTTATGGACACATTTAGTCTGAGGGATGAATAGACCAGCAAACATTAGCCTCCACGACCCCCTGAGACCAGAAGAAATAAATGCTGCCCGGATGCTACTACCGACTTCTTTGAAAACGATCGCATTAGAAGGTTGTGGATAAGTGGAAGAAAAAAGTAAAATAAAACCCAAGATCATAAAAAGCGAATGGACTTAATATAGACTAGAAACTGGTGGCGGTCCTGAGATTGTGACCTTTAATCACCCTTCAGTTTCTGAGCTGAAATCACTCCTGTGTTGGAATATCAACCACTTCAGATTCAAAAGGCAGGACGTATACAGTGATAAAGTTCAGAGGGCTAAAAGAGAAGGAGGATGGAAATAGGGAACAGAGGGGAAAAGTGGGAGAAGTGCTGGCACGTTGAGAAGACTGCAGTGGATGAGTTGAAACAAAATGTATGGACTACTGACCGCAAAACTGAAACCTGCCTTGTAAATCTTCATCGAATTCACGATAAAGCAATTTAAAAATAATAATAAGAATCTGTGTAGGACTTGTGAGTAGTGATTTAAAAGGCAATAATGAAAAAGAGTTTCAATTATATTAACCATTGTGCACAGTAGAGACAGGACATTCTAGAAAGAAGGGGGAAACTCCAGAAAGCAGGCTAGAGATGTGGAAGACAAGATTGTGTTATGTCAAGAAACTAGAACAAAGTCATTTTGATTGGGTGCTAGGTGGTATAATGGGTTAGGGTGGTGTTATGCTACTCACCACAAGGTCAGCAGTTGGAAACCACCAGCTGCTCTGAAGAAGAAAGATGAGGCTCTCCACTCCCATAAACATGTACTGTCTCAGAAATCCACAGGGAGAGTGCTACTTTGTCCTATAAGGTCTCTATCAATCATAATTGAGACTTTGGGTGCTGTCGGATATAAAAAGACTTTTCCCCAGCTTTGTCTCCCCAAAAGATATGCCAAACATTAGAGGCTATTTGCCAGCACATGGTGGGAGGTCAGATGCTTAGAGATATTCTCCCTGAAGGCTTTCAGCCATCAGACTACTGTCTGGTCCACTATAGGTGGGGCTCACACCCTGATAAGGATAGTGATTGTTTCCATGGAGATTCAGAGGCGTGGTCAAATCTGCTCAGTGATATCCAAAGTTAGGCTGCCATCCTTAATTTAGGATCTACCCATCTTGTCACATGTATACCCCAATCCCTCCCCTTCCTATTGTGTATACCCCTAGATGATACCCCTCTCATGCTGTATTTCCTATAGTACAACCCCTTCCTGTGATGTATGTCTTTACTTGTAATCAGGGGGTTTGCACACCCCCAAAAGATATATAAGCCTTGGCTAGTAATAAATCCCGTTCTCTCCCCTGGTCCCCTCTCCCCTGGTTGCTCTCTCCCCTGTTCCCTCTCCCCTGTCCTCCTCCCCCTCACTCTCT